TCAGTCCTGTTTTAGACCTGCTTTAGTCCTGCTTTAGTCCTGCTTTAGTCCTGCTTTAGTCCTGTTTTAGACCTGCTTTAGTCCTGCTTTAGTCCTGTTTTAGACCTGCTTTAGTCCTGCTTTAGTCCTTGTTCAGTCCTGCTTTAATCCTTGTTCAGTCCTGCTTCAGACCTGCTTTTGGGCTTGTTCAGTTCTGCTTTAGACATGGCTTTAGTCCCGTTTTAGTCCTCCTTAAGTCCTGCTTTAGTCTTCTTTTAGTCCAGTTTTTGTCCTGCTTTAGTCCTTGTTTAGTGCATGGCTTTAGTGTTATTTTGCCTTAGTTATCCTGTAGTCCCAGCCTCAGTCCAGTTTCAGTCCAGTTTTAGTCCTTGTTCAGTCCTTGTTTAGTCCTGCCCTAGTCTCTGCTTCAGACAGGGTACAGTCTCTTTTAGAATCTTGTGTGTATTTTGTGTGTACTATTTGACCCTTTGGGCTGCGAGCTGATTGGCTGGAGCGAGGGTTCCATTGTTGAGTTGTGAAAGTTACGTACCCCAGCTTTAATGGGTAGACAAAACTGTGAAAGTGGAAGCAGAGAGTAATTTTTTAGTGCCACGTCACGGCTGTTGTGTGTGAGTTTATTGACACAGACCACATTGTAAAGTCACACAATTCAAAGATAATGTTCAGACAAAACACGCTCTCGGCCAACAGGAGGCGCCGCGGTTTCCTCGGATTGTCAGGAAAATGCTTTAGGTCGAACCAGGACACGACTTTATCTTTCTATACATCTATATTTAGTACATTTCAAACCTCCATATTGACCTTATCCCAGGATCGGTCTCTGTGTTAGAGCTGGACATGCAGCAGGTTTGGCCCAATTTTGTCCATTTTTCTAGTCATTTCAAGTTCTCTGATACTAGCCTAAAGTTAAACCGGTGTAACTCCTGCTTTTGTACTACTTTAGGCCTGATTTAGTCTTTCTTTAGACCTGCTTTTGTCCTGCTCTAGACCTGCTTTAGTCCTGCTTTAGTCCTGCTTTAGTCCTGCTTTAGTCCTGCTTTAGTCCTGCTTTAGTCCTACTTTAGTCCTGCTTAAGACCTGCTTTAGTCCTGCTTTAGTCCTGCTTTAGTCCTGCTTTGCTCCTGCTTTAGTCCTGCTTAAGACCTGCTCTAGACCTGCTTTAGTCCTGCTTAAGACCTGCTTTAGTCCTGCTTTAGTCCTGCTTAAGACCTGCTTAAGACCTGCTTTAGTCCTGCTTAAGACCTGCTTTAGTCCTGCTTAAGACCTGCTTTAGTCCTGCTTTAGTCCTGCTTTGCTCCTGCTTTAGTCCTGCTTAAGACCTGCTCTAGACCTGCTTTAGTCCTGCTTAAGACCTTCTTTAGTCCTGCTTTAGTCCTGCTTTGCTCCTGCTTTAGTCCTGCTTAAGACCTGCTCTAGACCTGCTTTAGTCCTGCTTAAGACCTGCTTTAGTCCTGCTTTAGTCCTGCTTTGCTCCTGCTTTAGTCCAACTTTAGTCCTGCTTTAGTCCAAGTTTAGTCCTGCTTTAGTCCTGCTTTAGTCCTGCTTAAGACCTGCTTTAGTCCTACTTTAGTGCTACTTTAGTCCTGCTTTGGTCCTGCTTTAGTCCAACTTTAGACCTGCTTTAGTCCTGCTTTGGTCCTGCTTTACGCACCACAGACCTGGCCTCTCCGCAGACCTGGCCTCTCCGCAGACCTGGCCTCTCCGCAGACCTGGCTCGTCAGTCCAGACCCTGTGATGAAAGCCTCCTCTGCCTCCCGTGTTGAGGCAGCGTGGGGAGGACGGCCTCTCGCTCCGCTGCCTCCACAACAACATTTACTAAAGTGATTTGACTTTGACATCCTCCCGGTTCTGCTCCAGAGACGGAGGAATCTGTGAGAACCAAAGCCCTGGGCCCTCACTCAGCGAAGGCCGTGCTGATTAAAGCTGGGGTACCTGACTTTAGCCTGATAAACCCCACATGGAGTTGGTCGGACAGAAAGAGTAAAAGTAAAAGTAAATTGTTGGTTTGAGGCAAAAGATATGAATGTGAAAGCTAGTGATAGTTTACTTTAGTCTGGCTTTAGACCTGCTTTAGTCCGGCTTTAGTCCGGCTTTAGTCCGGCTTTAGTCCAGCTTTAGTCCTGCTTTAGTCCGGCTTTAGTCCGGCTTTAGTCCTGCTTTAGTCCGGCTTTAGTCCAGCTTTAGTCCTGCTTTAGTCCAGCTTTAGTCCTGCTTTAGACCTGCTTTAGTCCTGCTTTAGACCTGATTTAGTCCAGCTTTAGTCCTGCTTTAGACCTGCTTTAGTCCTGCTTTAGACCTGATTTAGTCCAGCTTTAGTCCTGCTTTAGACCTGCTTTAGTCCTGCTTTAGGCCTGCTTTAGTCCTGCTTTAGTCCGGCTTTAGACCTGCTTTAGTCCTGCTTTAGTCCGGCTTTAGACCTGCTCTAGTCCTGCTTTAGTGCTGCTTTAGTCCTGCTTTACCTCTGCTTTAAACCTGCTTTAGTCCTACTTTAGACCTGCTTTAGACCTGCTTTACCCCTGCTTTAGACCTGCTTTAGACCAGTTTTAGACCTGCTTTAGACCTGCTTTAGTCCTGCCTTTGACCTGCTTTAGACCTTGTCAGAATTAAGTTCTGTTTTAAAGCCAGTAACTAATAGCATAAAGTTCTATTAGTGTCATTTTAAAGTTACATACCTCAGCTTTAAACCAGTTTACGTCTTTTGAAGCAGTTTTCATTCCGCCAACTTCAGCCACGTCCACCTGCCATGTGTGCAGCTTTGTAATCGATAAAGCAGAAAAGTCCATTAAGACTAAATATCCAGCGGCCGGTCCCTGACAGTGTTTATTATTGACAGTTTTCTCTCCTCAGATGAATCTCAGTCTGAGCTGTTTGCAGTTGAGATGTGAGCTCAGATACATGTGTTTTTGTAATAGGACATTTCCTCTGGGTTTAGAAAAGCTTTGCAGAGTCCAAGAAAACTGGGCCCAAAACCAGGTCCAGGGCCGAGTGTCCTGGTCCAGAGATCGGCTCCGGTTTCACACTGAGGTCAGATTATCGCAGAGGACCAGACCAGCACGACACCGGCAGACCCTCAATACACATGTCTCTGTCTCGTTCTGGCTCAGAGTGGTTTGGAAGCTTCACTTTTGGATCGCAGAGAATGTCGTAACGAACGGTCTGTCGCCGTTAATCTTCGTCTGTGTCGGGGGGAAAACCACGGAAAGATTTGGAGCTTCACAATTCTGTGTACTTCTCAAACCGTGATCCGTTTTTTCAGAGTAAAAATAACATAAAAAGAGTATTTTGTTTGTAAAAGCAACCAGAAATAGTAGAGAGAGGAACAAGAGAGAGACTAGAGTTAAGTCCAGAGGGAGACTAGAGAGAGAGAGACCCATAGAGAGAGAAAGACTGAAGAGAGACCTGAGAGATCAAGGAAAACCGGAGAGACTACAGTGAGACTAGAGAGAGAGACTAGAGTGAGAGACTAGAGTGAGAGACGAGTGAGAGACAATAGAGAGAGAGTCTAGAGTGGAAGTCCAGAGGGAGACTGGAGAGAGAGGAAAATTAGGGAGACCAGAGAAAGACTGGAGTAAGACCGGAGAGAGAGAGAGGAAAACGAGAGATCAGAGAGCGGCCAAAGAGCGAGACTAGAGACACAGAGAGAGAGAGACAAAAGTGAAAGTCCAGAGGGAGACTAGAGAGAGAGGAAAACCAGAGAGACCAGAGAAAGACTAGAGAGAGAGAGAAACCAGAAAGACCAGTCCAGAGGGAGACTAGAAAGAGAGACCCGGAGAGAGAAAGAAAGACTCGAGAGAGACCCAAGAGAGAAGAAAATCAAAGAGAGACCAAAGAGGGAGACTAGAGAGAGATCGACCAGAGTGAGGCTTGAGAGAGAGACCAGAGAGTGGAGGACCAGAGTGAAACCTTAGCAAAAGAGAGAGACGAGAGTGGGTTTATCCAGGACCGAGGCTGCTGTGTGGTAAAGGACTGAAGATCCTCCCAGGTGAGGATGGAGGTCCAGTCCATGAGTCCGAGACAGGGCCGACCAGTTCACAGGTGCTGGTCCAAAAGGCCAAATTCAGGACAGCGGGTGAATAGCAATGAACAGACTACAGCTGCAGTCATCATGATGAAAGATCTGGGCTCTTTGAAACCTGCTGATGTCACATTACGCTAAGAACATCCGAAACCTTCATTCATACTTTTGTATCTTTTATACGTCTTCTCCGTCCCCAAATTAGGTCTTTTTGGATTGGCTTCTGGTCTGTCTACTCCAGATGTGACATTTGTGGCGTTTCCAGTTAAACATATTTGTTGAATTTAAAGCTCCCATTGGACTCCATCACACATTACTTACTCTGACTTTCTAAAATGTTTGGAGCTAAATGGATTGACCAGCATGTCGTGACAAGACTAGAGAGAGAGACCCAGAGAGAGAAACAAGAGAGAGTCTAGAGTGGGAGTCCAGAGGGAGACTAGAAAGAGACCCAGATAGAGAGAAAGACCGGAGAGAGACCTGTGAGATCAAGGAAAACCGTAGAGAGAGACCAGGGAGAGAGAGACAAGAGTGAAAGTCCAGAGGGAGACTAGAGAGAGAGACCCAGAGAGAGAGAAAGACCAGAGAGAAACCTGAGAGAGAGGAATACCAGAGAGTAACTAGAGAGAGAGACCCAGAGAGAGAGAAAGACCGGAGAGAAACCTGAGAGAGAGGAATACCAGAGAGTAACTAGAGAGAGAGAGAAAGACCGGAGAGAAACCTGTGAGATCAAGGAAAACCAGAGAGAGACTCAGAGAGAAAGCCAGAGAGAGACTATTGGTCTGTCTACTTCAGATGTGACATGGCGTTTCCAGTTAAACATATTTGTTGAATTTAAAGCTCCCATTGGACTTCACTTACTCTGACTTTCTAACATATTTGGAGCTAAGTGGATTGACGAGCATGTGGCGTAGCGGTCTCCAGTCTCCGTGTTTCCAGGAGAAGCCTCGTCTCTGGTCCACGTCATGGTCCAGGTCTGTTTCTGATGAGGATCACAGTTGGAATCCCACAGAAACACGACCGCTCCTGCCTCTTGGTGGTTCTCCTCGGTCCGTTCCCGCCGCTGCTGCCGTGACACATGCTAAAACGCTTCGCTGAGCTCAGTCTCTGTGGAGCCGTGAAAACTCTAAACTGGTAGAAGGGAAAAGAAGACGAGTTATTACAAATCTGTGCTCTTACATGTCGGGGTTTTATGGAGGGCAGAGGTTTGGCAGCGCTCCGAGGATCCTGAGAGAAAGATGTTCTGGGGTAAATGTTTTAAATGCTACGGTTTACAAAGAAACACATGAGAGAGATTCAACGAAAGCAAAGGACACTTCCACATGGTTTTTCTCTTTCCTCCATGCTCCACTGTTCTGCTTCATTACATCAATGGGCCCAAAGCGCACCCTTGAGGAACCCCCAGCAGAATGTTTTCTATATGTGCATGCCGTATATGTGTACATTTTTTATTCAAGCTAAAATGCCACGGTGAAACTAATCAACCACAACAGAAACAGCACAAGTGAAGAACATTAAAGTCTGTGGAAGGAAGCTGTTAGCGTAAGTTAGCATAAGCTGTTAGCATGTTAGCATTTCCTGCATCTCAACTAGTGGGGGCGGGTCCCAGCTCAAAAGTGGCCTGAATGAGGTGCGTTGACATGCTGCAATACCACCCCGGGCCGATGGGGGTGGACCCGGAATAAGAATTAGCCAATGCTAACATATAGCATTAGCTGACCTCTCGAAAACGTCTTTACAGGATGGTCCAAAGTTGGCTCTTGGCCCAAAGCTCCGTTCCACATGTGGGTCAATGCTGAGGGGGGTGTTTTGGACTTTGAATTTTTGAAGTCACTCGTTTAAATGAATGGAGCTCGTGCAGCTGACGCATGCACAGATGCGATTTTTCACATTTTCCAGCCCTCACGGCCATTTTGAATCACTCCATGAAAGCCCAATTTTTGGCCCATTAGTTAGAACGACGGAGATAGGCGTGACTACATCCGTTAATATTTACAATCTATGATCTCAACAATAAGGCCCATAAATGGCGGCAACGACCTGTAACGGGGATCACTGATATTCATGTGTTTATTGCATGTATTTGTTCTTATATAAATAGTTCTTATATATTTTATGTCTATGAAAATGTTTGAGTTTGGAAATCGCACATTTGAAACTATTTTATTAAACTTGAATTGAAAGCATTTTGATTTCAGCGAATGGTCCCTTCCTCTTACTGTGTTCTGAAATATTGTTTCTGTTGGACGAGGGGCTTGGCACACGCTGCTGCTTCGTCCGACCCCTTTTCAAACGGTTCTTTTTGCGTCCGGTTTAGTTTCTGTTGAACCAGTCTGCGTCTGAAATAAATACTTTTCGATGAGTTTTTGTTTTTTCTGAATTACACATGCGTACCTCTCTAACACCACGGAGCACGGCGCCATGTTGTTCTCTGTTTGGACTGAAACAAAGTCGTGTTTTGCTTTCATTCTTGACCCATGAATAATAAAATCAATACCGTGTGTAGGTGCGGAGCCAGGGCGTCACCGAGGAGCTCAAGTGTCTCTCTCTCCTCAACGTTCTGGACAAAGACAACATCCCCGACCAGCTCACTCAGCTGTTAGGAGAGCCCTGCATCAAGCTGGCGGAGGGCATCAAGGCCTACATCTCCAAGGTAGGACTCTTTAAAGCTGGGGTATGTAACTTTAGCTCTCATAGACAATACATGTGTTTGTCCAACAGGTAACAGCCTGGGCCTCGAACCCGGCTTGCGACTTAGACCTCCTTTATAAAGTTGTAGTTGTTTAAAATAATGTTGGAAAGTGTTTTTATTGCTCCATGTGGAAGAGGAAATTGCCCTAGTCCATTTTAACGATTCCCTCTGGTCTCTCTCTGGTCTCTCTCTGGTCTCTCTCTCTCTGGTCTCTCTCTGGTCTCTCCCTGGTCTCTCCCTGGCCTTCTCTCTCTGGGTCTCTCTCTGGTCTCTCTCTGGTCTCTCTCTGGTCTCTCCCTGGCCTCTCTCTAGTCTCTCTCTGGTCTCTCCCTGGTCTCTCTCTGGTCTCTCTCTGGTCTCTCTTCTGGCCTCTCTCTAGTCTCTCTCTGGTCTCTCCCTGGTCTCTCCCTGGTCTCTCTCTGGTCTCTCTCTGGCTTCTCTCTGGTCTCTCCCTGGTCTCTCTCTGGTCTCTCTCTGGTCTGGTCTCTCTCTGGCTTCTCTCTCTCTCTGGTCTCTCTGGTCTCTCTCTGGCTCTCTCTGCCTCCTCTCTTGGTCTCTCTGGTCTCTCTCTCTCTGGTCTCTCCCTGGTCTCTCTCTGGTCTCTCTGTCTCTCTCTGTCTCTTTCTGTTCTCTCTCTCTAGTCTCTCTCTCTAGTCTCTCTCTGGTCTCTCTCTCTAGTCTCTCTCTCGGTCTCTCTCTAGTCTCTCTCTGGTCTCTCTCTAGTCTCTCTCTGGTCTCTCAGGTCTCTCTCTCTCTCTGGTCTCTCAGGTCTCTCTCTCTCTCAGGTCTCTCAGGTCTCTCTCTCTCTCTCTGGTCTCTCTCTGGTCTCTCTTTGGTCTCTTTCTTGTCCTGGGTTCCTGACTTTAGAGAACTTATTTCGAAATTTTGAAGTTGTTTTGACTCTTATTTTGACAAATTCCTGAATTTTTGTGTCCAAACAACACACCTCCCTTTCCCACTGTGGTCCCGGGTCCAACATTTGGACCGACTGCAGCTGTGTTTATAAAACTAATTGAATTCTGATTTAAACCTTTGTTTCACATAAAATAAAACCACAGCAAGGTTTTTATCTTTGAGCAGGACTAATACAGGACTAAGCAGAACTAAAGCAGGACTAAAGCAGGACTAAAGCAGGACTAAAGAACTAAAGCTGGTCTAAAGCAGGACTAAAGCAGGTCTAAAGCAGGACTAAAGCAGGACTAAACAGGACTAAACAGGACTCTAAAGCAGGACAAAAACTGGTCTAAAGCAGGATTAGAGCAGGATTGATGGAGGACTAGAGCAGGACTAAAACAGGACTACGTTAAGGCCAAACCAAGACTAAAGCAAGACTAAAACAGGTCTAAAACAGGTCTAAAGCAGGTCTAAAGCAGGTCTAAAGCAGGTCTAAAGCAGGTCTAAAGCAGGTCTAAAGCAGGATTTGAGCAGGACTAAAACAGAACTTAACCAGGACTAAATCAGGTCTAAAACATCCGTCTCCAGAGCTTTTGTATTTGCACGTGTGTCAGATCTCGTTAGCTCTTCTTCCAGTCTCCAAAGAAACATGTTTTTTCTCAAATCTAAAACCGGACCAAGAGAAACTAGTTTTTTGCCAAAACAGCCGTAATTATCGTCCAAGACTCTCTCAAAGTGAAAGTAACTTGGCTCTCTCTGGTTTTGACAAATGGAGCGTGGAATTGGTTAAGTGCCGGTGAAAACTCTTCCTTTGTTCAGTTTGATCAGTTTGATGAAGAGGGAGACGAAATATTAATGTAGAAGGTGGAGTCGCAAGCGGCAATGGACGGCCCTCACAAGCGCCATAGTCTTCGTCAAACTCAAGATTTCTGCCTTTTGAAAGTGATGGGGGCTCCAGGACTGATATTATTATATATTGATATTCAGGACTGAGGTCTCTTCCTGGGTCTCTTTCTGGTCTCTCTCTGGCCCCTGGTCTCTCTCTGGTCTCTCTCTGGTCTCTCTCTGGTCTCTCTCTGGTCTCTCTCTAGTCTCTCTCTAGTCTCTCTCTGGTCTCTCTCTAGTTACTCTCTAGTCTTTGGTCTCTCTCTCTTTTGTCTCTCTCTGGTCTCTCTCTCGCCCCTGGTCTCTTTCTGGTCTCTCTTTGGTCTCTCTCTGGTCTTGCTCTCGCCCCTGGTCTCTCTCTGGTCTCTCTTGGGTCTCTCTCTCTGGTCTCTCTCTGGTCTCACACTCGTCTCTCTCTGGTCTCTCTCTGGTCTCTCTCTCTGGTCTCTCTCTGGTCTCTCTCTGGTCTTTCCCTGGTTTCTCTCTGGCCTCGCTCTGGTCTCGCTCTGGTAATTGATGTTATTATTACTTGATTGCAACACTCTGGTCTGAGGAGGTTCTTTAGTCCTGGTTCTGGACCGGTTCCATTTCAGTGCAGCTCAGAAACGCATGAGAGATAAGATCTGAACTGTACATGAACTAAAACAACTCTAAACCAGGTCTGAACCAGGACTGAACCAGGACTGAACCAGGACTGAGCCAGGACTGAGCCAGGACTGAACCAGCTTTAGACCTGATTTAGTCCAGCTTTAGTCCTGCTCTTAGACCTGCTTTAGTCCTGCTTTAGGCCTGCTTTAGTCCTGCTTTAGTCCGGCTTTAGACCTGCTTTAGTCCTGCTTTAGTCCGGCTTTAGACCTGCTCTAGTCCTGCTTTAGTGCTGCTTTAGTCCTGCTTTACCTCTGCTTTAAACCGCTTTAGTCCTACTTTAGACCTGCTTTAGACCTGCTTTACCCCTGCTTTAGACCTGCTTTAGACCAGTTTTAGACCTGCTTTAGACCTGCTTTAGTCCTGCCTTTGACCTGCTTTAGACCTTGTCAGAATTAAGTTCTGTTTTAAAGCCAGTAACTAATAGCATAAAGTTCTATTAGTGTCATTTTAAAGTTACATACCTCAGCTTTAAACCAGTTTACGTCTTTTGAAGCAGTTTTCATTCCGCCAACTTCAGCCACGTCCACCTGCCATGTGTGCAGCTTTGTAATCGATAAAGCAGAAAAGTCCATTAAGACTAAATATCCAGCGGCCGGTCCCTGACAGTGTTTATTATTGACAGTTTTCTCTCCTCAGATGAATCTCAGTCTGAGCTGTTTGCAGTTGAGATGTGAGCTCAGATACATGTGTTTTTGTAATAGGACATTTCCTCTGGGTTTAGAAAAGCTTTGCAGAGTCCAAGAAAACTGGGCCAAAACCAGGTCCAGGGCCGAGTGTCCTGGTCCAGAGATCGCTCCGGTTTCACACTGAGGTCAGATTATCGCAGAGGACCAGACCAGCACGACACCGGCAGACCCTCAATACACATGTCTCTGTCTCGTTCTGGCTCAGAGTGGTTTGGAAGCTTCACTTTTGGATCGCAGAGAATGTCGTAACGAACGTCTGTCGCCGTTAAATCTTCGTCTGTGTCGGGGGGAAAACCACGAGAGAGAGAGAGAGTAAAAAAACGAGAGATCAGAGAGACCCATAGAGAGAGAAAGACTGAAGAGAGGACCTGAGAGATCAAGGAAAACCGGAGAGCGGCCAAAGAGCGAGACTAGAGACACAGAGAGAGAGAGACAAAAGTGAAAGTCCAGAGGGAGACTAGAGAGAGAGGAAAACCAGAGAGACCAGAGAAAGACTAGAGAGAGAGAGAAACCAGAAAGACCAGTCCAGAGGGAGACTAGAAAGAGAGACCCGGAGAGAGAAAGAAAGACTCGAGAGAGACCCAAGAGAGAAGAAAATCAAAGAGAGACCAAAGAGGGAGACTAGAGAGAGATCGACCAGAGTGAGGCTTGAGAGAGAGACCAGAGAGTGGAGGACCAGAGTGAAACCTTAGCAAAAGAGAGAGACGAGAGTGGGTTTATCCAGGACCGAGGCTGCTGTGTGGTAAAGGACTGAAGATCCTCCCAGGTGAGGATGGAGGTCCAGTCCATGAGTCCGAGACAGGGCCGACCAGTTCACAGGTGCTGGTCCAAAAGGCCAAATTCAGGACAGCGGGTGAATAGCAATGAACAGACTACAGCTGCAGTCATCATGATGAAAGATCTGGGCTCTTTGAAACCTGCTGATGTCACATTACGCTAAGAACATCCGAAACCTTCATTCATACTTTTGTATCTTTTATACGTCTTCTCCGTCCCCAAATTAGGTCTTTTTGGATTGGCTTCTGGTCTGTCTACTCCAGATGTGACATTTGTGGCGTTTCCAGTTAAACATATTTGTTGAATTTAAAGCTCCCATTGGACTCCATCACACATTACTTACTCTGACTTTCTAAAATGTTTGGAGCTAAATGGATTGACCAGCATGTCGTGACAAGACTAGAGAGAGAGACCCAGAGAGAGAAACAAGAGAGAGTCTAGAGTGGGAGTCCAGAGGGAGACTAGAAAGAGACCCAGATAGAGAGAAAGACCGGAGAGAGACCTGTGAGATCAAGGAAAACCGTAGAGAGAGACCAGGGAGAGAGAGACAAGAGTGAAAGTCCAGAGGGAGACTAGAGAGAGAGACCCAGAGAGAGAGAAAGACCAGAGAGAAACCTGAGAGAGAGGAATACCAGAGAGTAACTAGAGAGAGAGACCCAGAGAGAGAGAAAGACCGGAGAGAAACCTGAGAGAGAGGAATACCAGAGAGTAACTAGAGAGAGAGAGAAAGACCGGAGAGAAACCTGTGAGATCAAGGAAAACCAGAGAGAGACTCAGAGAGAAAGCCAGAGAGAGACTATTGGTCTGTCTACTTCAGATGTGACATGGCGTTTCCAGTTAAACATATTTGTTGAATTTAAAGCTCCCATTGGACTTCACTTACTCTGACTTTCTAACATATTTGGAGCTAAGTGGATTGACGAGCATGTGGCGTAGCGGTCTCCAGTCTCCGTGTTTCCAGGAGAAGCCTCGTCTCTGGTCCACGTCATGGTCCAGGTCTGTTTCTGATGAGGATCACAGTTGGAATCCCACAGAAACACGACCGCTCCTGCCTCTTGGTGGTTCTCCTCGGTCCGTTCCCGCCGCTGCTGCCGTGACACATGCTAAAACGCTTCGCTGAGCTCAGTCTCTGTGGAGCCGTGAAAACTCTAAACTGGTAGAAGGGAAAAGAAGACGAGTTATTACAAATCTGTGCTCTTACATGTCGGGGTTTTATGGAGGGCAGAGGTTTGGCAGCGCTCCGAGGATCCTGAGAGAAAGATGTTCTGGGGTAAATGTTTTAAATGCTACGGTTTACAAAGAAACACATGAGAGAGATTCAACGAAAGCAAAGGACACTTCCACATGGTTTTTCTCTTTCCTCCATGCTCCACTGTTCTGCTTCATTACATCAATGGGCCCAAAGCGCACCCTTGAGGAACCCCCAGCAGAATGTTTTCTATATGTGCATGCCGTATATGTGTACATTTTTTATTCAAGCTAAAATGCCACGGTGAAACTAATCAACCACAACAGAAACAGCACAAGTGAAGAACATTAAAGTCTGTGGAAGGAAGCTGTTAGCGTAAGTTAGCATAAGCTGTTAGCATGTTAGCATTTCCTGCATCTCAACTAGTGGGGGCGGGTCCCAGCTCAAAAGTGGCCTGAATGAGGTGCGTTGACATGCTGCAATACCACCCCGGGCCGATGGGGGTGGACCCGGAATAAGAATTAGCCAATGCTAACATATAGCATTAGCTGACCTCTCGAAAACGTCTTTACAGGATGGTCCAAAGTTGGCTCTTGGCCCAAAGCTCCGTTCCACATGTGGGTCAATGCTGAGGGGGGTGTTTTGGACTTTGAATTTTTGAAGTCACTCGTTTAAATGAATGGAGCTCGTGCAGCTGACGCATGCACAGATGCGATTTTTCACATTTTCCAGCCCTCACGGCCATTTTGAATCACTCCATGAAAGCCCAATTTTTGGCCCATTAGTTAGAACGACGGAGATAGGCGTGACTACATCCGTTAATATTTACAATCTATGATCTCAACAATAAGGCCCATAAATGGCGGCAACGACCTGTAACGGGGATCACTGATATTCATGTGTTTATTGCATGTATTTGTTCTTATATAAATAGTTCTTATATATTTTATGTCTATGAAAATGTTTGAGTTTGGAAATCGCACATTTGAAACTATTTTATTAAACTTGAATTGAAAGCATTTTGATTTCAGCGAATGGTCCCTTCCTCTTACTGTGTTCTGAAATATTGTTTCTGTTGGACGAGGGGCTTGGCACACGCTGCTGCTTCGTCCGACCCCTTTTCAAACGGTTCTTTTTGCGTCCGGTTTAGTTTCTGTTGAACCAGTCTGCGTCTGAAATAAATACTTTTCGATGAGTTTTTGTTTTTTCTGAATTACACATGCGTACCTCTCTAACACCACGGAGCACGGCGCCATGTTGTTCTCTGTTTGGACTGAAACAAAGTCGTGTTTTGCTTTCATTCTTGACCCATGAATAATAAAATCAATACCGTGTGTAGGTGCGGAGCCAGGGCGTCACCGAGGAGCTCAAGTGTCTCTCTCTCCTCAACGTTCTGGACAAAGACAACATCCCCGACCAGCTCACTCAGCTGTTAGGAGAGCCCTGCATCAAGCTGGCGGAGGGCATCAAGGCCTACATCTCCAAGGTAGGACTCTTTAAAGCTGGGGTATGTAACTTTAGCTCTCATAGACAATACATGTGTTTGTCCAACAGGTAACAGCCTGGGCCTCGAACCCGGCTTGCGACTTAGACCTCCTTTATAAAGTTGTAGTTGTTTAAAATAATGTTGGAAAGTGTTTTTATTGCTCCATGTGGAAGAGGAAATTGCCCTAGTCCATTTTAACGATTCCCTCTGGTCTCTCTCTGGTCTCTCTCTGGTCTCTCTCTGGTCTCTCCCTGGTCTCTCCCTGGTCTCTCCCTGGTCTCTCTCTGGTCTCTCTCTGGTCTCTCTCTGGTCTCTCTCTGGTCTCTCCCTGGCCTCTCTCTAGTCTCTCTCTGGTCTCTCCCTGGTCTCTCTCTGGTCTCTCCCTGGTCTCTCTCTGGTCTCTCTCTAGTCTCTCTCTGGTCTCTCCCTGGTCTCTCCCTGGTCTCTCTCTGGTCTCTCTCTGGCTTCTCTCTGGTCTCTCCCTGGTCTCTCTCTGGTCTCTCTCTGGTCTCTCTCTGGTCTCTCTCTGGTCTCTCTCTGGTCTCTCTCTGGCCTCTCTCTGGTCTCTCTCTGGTCTCTCCCTGGTCTCTCTCTGGTCTCTCTCTGGTCTCTCTGGTCTCTTTCTGTTCTCTCTCTCTAGTCTCTCTCTCTAGTCTCTCTCTGGTCTCTCTCTAGTCTCTCTCTGGTCTCTCTCTAGTCTCTCTCTGGTCTCTCTCTAGTCTCTCTCTGGTCTCTCAGGTCTCTCTCTCTCTCTGGTCTCTCAGGTCTCTCTCTCTCTCTGGTCTCTCAGGTCTCTCTCTCTCTCTCTGGTCTCTCTCTGGTCTCTCTTTGGTCTCTTTCTTGTCCTGGGTTCCTGACTTTAGAGAACTTATTTCGAAATTTTGAAGTTGTTTTGACTCTTATTTTGACAAATTCCTGAATTTTGTGTGTCCAAACAACACACCTCCCTTTCCCACTGTGGTCCCGGGTCCAACATTTGGACCGACTGCAGCTGTGTTTATAAAACTAATTGAATTCTGATTTAAACCTTTGTTTCACATAAAATAAAACCACAGCAAGGTTTTTATCTTTGAGCAGGACTAATACAGGACTAAAGCAGAACTAAAGCAGGACTAAAGCAGGACTAAAGCAGGACTAAAGCAGGACTAAAGCTGGTCTAAAGCAGGACTAAAGCAGGTCTAAAGCAGGACTAAAGCAGGACTAAACCAGGACTAAAGCAGGTCTAAAGCAGGACTAAAGCAGGACTAAAGCAGGTCTAAAGCAGGACTAAAGCAGGACTAAAGCTGGACTAAAGCAGGTCTAAAGCAGGACTAAAGCAGGTCTAAAGCAGGACTAAAGCAGGACTAAAGCAGGACTAAAGCTGGACTAAAGCAGGTCTAAAGCAGGACTAAAGCAGGACTAAACCAGGACTAAAGCAGGACTAAAGCAGGACAAAAACTGGTCTAAAGCAGGATTAGAGCAGGATTGATGGAGGACTAGAGCAGGACTAAAACAGGACTACGTTAAGGCCAAACCAAGACTAAAGCAAGACTAAAACAGGTCTAAAACAGGTCTAAAGCAGGTCTAAAGCAGGTCTAAAGCAGGTCTAAAGCAGGTCTAAAGCAGGTCTAAAGCAGGATTTGAGCAGGACTAAAACAGAACTTAACCAGGACTAAATCAGGTCTAAAACATCCGTCTCCAGAGCTTTTGTATTTGCACGTGTGTCAGATCTCGTTAGCTCTTCTTCCAGTCTCCAAAGAAACATGTTTTTTCTCAAATCTAAAACCGGACCAAGAGAAACTAGTTTTTTGCCAAAACAGCCGTAATTATCGTCCAAGACTCTCTCAAAGTGAAAGTAACTTGGCTCTCTCTGGTTTTGACAAATGGAGCGTGGAATTGGTTAAGTGCCGGTGAAAACTCTTCCTTTGTTCAGTTTGATCAGTTTGATGAAGAGGGAGACGAAATATTAATGTAGAAGGTGGAGTCGCAAGCGGCAATGGACGGCCCTCACAAGCGCCATAGTCTTCGTCAAACTCAAGATTTCTGCCTTTTGAAAGTGATGGGGGCTCCAGGACTGATATTATTATATATTGATATTCAGGACTGAGGTCTCTTCCTGGGTCTCTTTCTGGTCTCTCTCTGGCCCCTGGTCTCTCTCTGGTCTCTCTCTGGTCTCTCTCTGGTCTCTCTCTGGTCTCTCTCTAGTCTCTCTCTAGTCTCTCTCTGGTCTCTCTCTAGTTACTCTCTAGTCTTTGGTCTCTCTCTCTTTTGTCTCTCTCTGGTCTCTCTCTCGCCCCTGGTCTCTTTCTGGTCTCTCTTTGGTCTCTCTCTGGTCTTGCTCTCGCCCCTGGTCTCTCTCTGGTCTCTCTTGGGTCTCTCTCTCTGGTCTCTCTCTGGTCTCACACTCGTCTCTCTCTGGTCTCTCTCTGGTCTCTCTCTCTGGTCTCTCTCTGGTCTCTCTCTGGTCTTTCCCTGGTTTCTCTCTGGCCTCGCTCTGGTCTCGCTCTGGTAATTGATGTTATTATTACTTGATTGCAACACTCTGGTCTGAGGAGGTTCTTTAGTCCTGGTTCTGGACCGGTTCCATTTCAGTGCAGCTCAGAAACGCATGAGAGATAAGATCTGAACTGTACATGAACTAAAACAACTCTAAACCAGGTCTGAACCAGGACTGAACCAGGACTGAACCAGGACTGAGCCAGGACTGAGCCAGGACTGAACCAGGTTTGAACCAAGACTGAACCAGGTCTAAAGCAGGACTGAATCCGACTTGGACCAGACCTGGCCCTGGCCCCTGTGGGAGATGACAGCAGGATTATGAGTGAGTGAGTCAGCACATGTGGCCCCCAGCTGTGGTCTGCAAACACCCACAATGCACTGCAGTGTCCGAGACCGTCGCTCTGACCCTCCCCGGCCGAGAAAACACCACACAAACACAAACACAAACACGCTCCCGTTTTTCTACGACTACACAAAGGCTCCCAGAATCCTGAACTTACTAGAACTCCCAGAGCCGTCATTTTGACTGCTCCCATTCAAACCAATGAAATGTTACTTTTTCACCAGATTTATTCAAAGTTAGTCATTTATACTGTGCTTAAACGTTGAAAATAATTTGAAACATGGCAAAAAACCGTTTGTTAAAAGGCTAAATGCTAACTGCTACAAGTAAACAGTGGGTTGCTATGGTAACTAGCATATACATATGAATGAGATTAAAGGGAGAACTCATATAAATATAGAAATAAATCATATAAAGAATGACAATAAAGTACACAAAGTTATGAAGACCCAGAATGTTCATATGTGAAGTCATTGGTTTCCAAACTAAATAAAAGGCGTCATATTGACTGCTCTGGGGTTGCAGAGTTAAACTGTGCGGATGACAGACGCTGTTGCACAAACCGAGACCAGAGGAACCGATGACGAACGCACAGGACGTTCTAACGAGTTTTTAATTAATGAAATATGACCTGAAGACGGCCTCAAGACTGGAATAAATCAGAAACATGTGGCTCCGAGAACGACCGCTCCACGATTATCCCCCACAGGCTGTAGACCCAGGACTCAGACTGTAGAACGAGGACTGAGGCTGTAGACCCAGCACTCAGACTGTAGAACGAGGACTGAGGCTGTAGATCCAGGACTCAGACTGTAGAACGAGGACTGAGGCTGTAGACCCAGGACTCAGACTGTAGGACGAGGACTGAGGCTGTAGACCCAGGACTCAGACTGTAGGACGAGGACTGAGGCTGTAGACCCAGGACTCAGACTGTAGAACGAGGACTGAGGCTGTAGACCCAGGACTCAGACTGTAGGACGAGGACTGAGGCTGTAGACCCAGGACTCAGACTGTAGAACGAGGACTGAGGCTGTAGACCCAGGACTCAGACTGCAGAACGAGGACAGGTCCGATGCAGGACTGAAGCAGCTCCAGGCGGGTCGGGCAGGGCAGTCCGCAGGTGTAGATGGAGGGGGCCAGTTAGTAATAGATCCGGCCCGCAAAAAAATGACCTTGGCCCAGGGATGATATTTGATTAGTATTAGGTTTTCTGCATCATTTCAATATATTTTAATAAACATTGAACCAGTCCGGCCCTCGACTTGTAGCAAACGTGTTTTTTTAGCCTCAGTTGTTTTTGACTTTGACCTCCCTGCCCAAAACCATCTCCAACATTATCTTCCCATTGGAACAAACGGCTTCTCATTTCAGAACCATGTGATGAAATCCACATCGAATGATCAAACTGTTAAAGTTACGACTCCGAACGTTCACGAGGCGTTCAAAGACCTCCTGTTGACGTGGCCTTTGAAACCATCTGACCGTGCGGCGCTGCTCTCGGCCTGTGTCTCCGTTAATGCCAGAATAGAAAGTTTGTTTGGGGGAATGCCGCTCACAGATCCGCTCATTGATCGCGATGTCTGGGCCTTCTTCAAACGTCACATAAACGCTCTGTTCTCGTCTTCATCAGCTGAGGAGGAAGAGGCACATGAGGCCGCGACAACAGCCCACTGTCTGTGCACTGAGCTTTGATAAGGTGAACACATAACACTAGTTTATAATCCAGGAACACTTGGAGAGTCCATAACAGGCACGTCCAAACTTAGGCCCACAGGCCAATCGGCAACTCAGCTCAACTCAGCTCAGCTCAGCTCAGCTCAGCTCAGCTCAGCTCAACTCAACTCAACTCAACTCAACTCAACTCATTCATTCTTGTACAATAAGTCACTTTATTATATGACTTGGACCGTACGCGCGCTCTGATTGGCTGATATTTTCCCATCTCGGACCGTTACCATGGCAATTGGTCGGCAGCGCTTATCAGATTTGATATCTTTCCTTGGTAAAAAAAGAAATATTATCCGGACGACTTTGAAGAGCCAGAGGAAGTAATAACAGCAAATAAAGACAAAAACACAACTGCTAAGAATCAAGAAGAGATTGACAACTTTGTTACAGACCAGAAAGGTAAAAACAGGATTAGGAAAACCAAGTCGGACAAACTTGAACAAACTTCACAAATATCTAAAAAGCATTAAGCAATAAGTTCTTCATGTCACAGTTTGACAGTTTGGTTGCATGTGTTTTAGTTGAAACCGATCGATATTTGCATAGATTAAAAATAGTCACATAATAAAACATTTATTAACCTCGCTTGCTCGGTTATAAGCCGTTATTATCCCCACCGCTGTCAGACTGTACAATAAGTCACTCTAAGTCACTAATGCACTAGGACTTTTTATTGTACATAACATATCCTGAACAGACGTTATTTTTAACCTTTCACATGTTTCACATTTCTGTCTTTTGCACAATCTGAGTGATTCTGTCTGTGCCAGATGTGACCTGTACATTTCTCCATCAGAGATCAATAAAGTCTGTCTTATTTTATCTTATAGCCCTGAATCCAAACAGTATTCATCTCGGAGAACTTTATAAAAACTGTTGATTCACAAACACAACAGTTCAAACACAAGAAATGAAATGAAGAAAAACACATAAATGTGGTTGAATGTGGAGTGTCCTGGATCATCGCTGTCCTTAGACCTCTCTAAAGACCTGGTGGGAGAAAAGTGAGAAACCTCGGAGAGATCCACTCCCTAAGACGAGCGGGCTGTAGATCCAGGACTGAGGCTGTAGATCCAGGACTGAGACTGTAGATCCAGGACTGAGACTGTAGATCCAGGACTGAGGCTGTAGATCCAGGACTGAGGCTGTAGACCCAGGACTGAGGCTGTAGACCCAGGACTGAGGTTGTCGATCCAGGACTGAGGCTGTAGACCCAGGACTGAGGCTGTAGACCCAGGACTGAGGTTGTCGATCCAGGACTGAGGCTGTAGATCCAGGACTGAGGCTGTAGATCCAGGACTGAGGCTGTAGATCCAGGACTGAGGCTGTAGATCCAGGACTGAGGCTGTAGGTCCAGGACTGAGGCTGTAGACCCAGGACTGAGGTTGTCGATCCAGGACTGAGGCTGTAGACCCAGGACTGAGGCTGTAGATCCAGGACTGAGGCTGTAGATCCAGGACTGAGGCTGTAGACCCAGGACTGAGGCTGTAGGTCCAGGACTGAGGCTGTAGATCCAGGACTGAGGCTGTAGATCCAGGACTGAGGCTGTAGGTCCAGGACTGAGGCTGTAGACCCAGGACTGAGGTTGTCGATCCAGGACTGAGGCTGTAGACCCAGGACTGAGGCTGTAGATCCAGGACTGAGGCTGTAGATCCAGGACTGAGGCTGTAGACCCAGGACTGAGGCTGTAGACCCAGGACTGAGGCTGTAGATCCAGGACTGAGGCTGTAGATCCAGGACTGAGGCTGTAGACCCAGGACTGAGGTTGTAGATCCAGGACTGAGGCTGTAGACCCAGGACTGAGGCTGTAGATCCAGGACTGAGGCTGTAGACCCAGGACTGAGCCTGTAGATCCAGGACTGAGGCTGTAGATCCAGGACTGAGGCTGTAGATCCAGGACTGAGGCTGTAGACCCAGGACTGAGGCTGTAGATCCAGGACTGAGACTGTAGACCCAGGACTGAGACTGTAGACCCAGGACTGAGGCTGTAGATCCAGGACTGAGGCTGTAGACCCAGGACTGAGGCTGTAGATCCAGGACTGAGGCTGTAGATCCAGGACTGAGGCTGTAGATCCAGGACTGAGGCTGTAGACCCAGGACTGAGGCTGTAGATCCAGGACTGAGACTGTAGACCCAGGACTGAGACTGTAGACCCAGGACTGAGGCTGTAGATCCAGGACTGAGGCTGTAGACCCAGGACTGAGGCTGTAGATCCAGGACTGAGGCTGTAGACCCAGGACTGAGGCTGTAGATCCAGGACTGAGACTGTAGACCCAGGACTGAGGCTGTAGACCCAGGACTGAGGCTGTAGATCCAGGACTGAGACTGTAGACCCAGGACTGAGGCTGGCCTGCTGCTGGGACTCTGAGGAGCACAGGGACTGGCCTCCTGCTTGTCCCAGATTCCGGACAAAAGAAATGTTTAAATCCAGGTCCAGTTTTGTTTCGCTGAATTTTCTCTTCTCATCTGATCAGAAAGTCTTGTGTGACCGTCTCTGTCTTGAACACTTGGAGTTTCCTTGAGTATGAACTGTGCTATACAAAAAACCATGCCTTCTCTTTGGTAATCTCTGCTTCCTCTGGCTCGGGTCGTGCTCCTCTCTCTCTGTAATCTCCGTGCTGTAAACATCTTTCTGTTTTCTTATCTGGTCTGAAGCACTGAGGTCTGAAGAGCCTGAACAAAGGCCTCTGTGTGGATCCAGTCGACCTGAACCTGGACTTGGACCAGACCGACTCACAGGGGACGCTCTCTGACACCAGCGCATTATCCTGAAACATTCTAATCTTTTAAAATCTCTAGTTTGATCTAAAAGGACTGAACTGATCTGCTACAAAAACCAACGGCAAAGACACAGACTAAAGGAGAGGTCTGTCAAAGCTGATCTATGGAACGGTTTATTTATACAACTTAAAGTCTCCAGAAATATTACAGCATTTCAAAAAAAAAGTCTAAGGCCACTCTGTAAAATTTATTGAAAAAAATATATATATATGTGATATTTGTTGCTAAATCAGGCGCACCCTCGCGTCAATACGTCCGTCATTATTACCCATTATGATGACAGATTAGGGTCCTTTAATGATAACAGATTAGGGCCCTTTAATGATGAAAGATTAGGGCCCTTTAATGATGACAGATTAGGGGCCTTTAATGGTGACAGATTAGGGGCCTTTAATGATGACAGATTAGGCCCTTTAATGATGACAGATTAGGGCCCTTTAATGATGATGAATTATAGCCCTTTAATGATGACAGATGAAGGCCCTTTAATTATGACAGATTAGGACCCTTTAATTATAACAGATTAGGGCCCTTTAAAGATGACAGATTAGGCCCTTTAATGATGACAGATTATGGCCCTTTAATTATAACAGATTAGGGCCCTTTAATTATGACAGATTAGGGCTCTTTAATGATGACAGATTATGGCCCTTTAATTATAACAGATTAGGGCCCTTTAATTATGACAGATTAGGGCCCTTTAATTATGACAGATTAGGGCCCTTTAATTATGACAGATTAAGGCTCTTTAATGATGACAGATTAGGGCTCTTTAATGATGACAGATTAGGGCCCTTTGATGATGACAGATTAGGGCTCTTTAAAGATGACAGATTAGGGGCCTTTAATTATAACAGATTAGGGCCCTTTAAAGATGACAGATTAGGGGCCTTTAATTATAACAGATTAGGGGCCTTTAATGGTGACAGATTAGGCCCTTTAATGATGACAGATTATGGCCCTTTAATGATGACAGATTAGGGGCCTTTATTGGTGACAGATTAGAGCCCTTTAATTATGACTTCACATGAAAATCTTACATAATGCTACTTTAAAGACCTTATGACGGTTAAAAAAAAAAAAATTGTGGATATCAAATTTGCATGACAATGTCAATTTGAAAGAGATTCCGGAAAAAAAAAATGTATAAAAAGAACGTGTTTTTCATGAATTTAAGTTGTCTATGCTCTAACCTGTGTGTGACGTCACAGCGGGTAACGCCCATGCATTGAAAACCATGGATCTATGCCACAGGACTGCCTTTTCTCTCTTCTCTCCACTGATGCCCAACACAATACTGCACTCTACAGGTGACAATTGCTCACTACACATAAATTGCCATTTTGAGAGTAAAAAAGTGTCCGAGTTGGGATTTGAACCCCAGTATCTGGATTGACAGTCCATCGACACAACCACTGGACTATCTCAGTGACAACGAAATGTTATAATCTAGTAGTTATCTTACACTCGCTGTACACGGCCTTGTCATCTCGAATATCCGCGAAAAAAGAACAAATACCAAATTGTAAACAACTTACAGCGTTGAAACGTACCCACTCTGACGTCACCAAGGGCTGTGAAGTTTTTTCGTTTCTAAGGGCGTTGCTATGGGGTTATTTCGATTTGGGGGGATCAGACAAAAAAAACAACAACTGATTTTGAAACCTTTAGTAGTTTTCTTCTAATATAAAATGGTATTAAAACTGTACTTCTAAATAAATCAAACCCGTCATAAGGTCTTTAAAGCTCGGGTACATAGTTTTTGTCTGCCGGCCTTTCAAGTGTATTCAATTAAAAATCGTCTTATATTTTGTGTGAGAGAGACCCCTGTGAGTCGCTGTACGCCTCTTTGGGCTGAGAGCTGATTGGTTGAGAGCTGATTGGCCGAGAGAGGGTGGTGCTGGCGTGGATGTGTTGTTGCTGCTTCAGGAAATGCCAGCGCTGTGAGGAAACGGATTCTCGCCGCTCCAAACCTCAGCTGGACTTTCATCTGCTTTGCACAATACTCTGTCGTCATAAAAATGTCAAGTATTTCTGGCGGAGAGCAAAGAGGGCGCAGAGCCGCATTAAAATGTGTTTATGTGTCATCCTCCCGCAGTTTACTCACTTCTAAAACGTTATCAATCATCACAAACAGACTGATCAAAGCTAACGGACTCCAGACGGCTCTAACGCACACTCCCTCTGATCTCTTTACCTTCACACTAACTGAAAAATGCTCTTTCAATATTGTTTCCTCGTCTAGGACTGAGGCTGTAGACCCAGGACTGAGGCTGTAGACCCAGGACTGAGGCTGTAGATCCAGGACTGAGGCTGTAGACCCAGGACTGAGGCTGTAGACCCAGGACTGAGGCTGTAGATCCAGGACTGAGGCTGTAGACCCAGAACTGAGGCTGTAGACCCAGGACTGAGGCGGTAGACCCAGGACTGAGGCTGTAGACCCAGGACTGAGGCTGTAGACCCAGGACTGAGGCTGTAGACCCAGGACTGAGGCTGTAGACCCAGGACTGAGGCTGTAGACCCAGGACTGAGGCTGTAGATCCAGGACTGAGGCTGTAGACCCATGACTGAGGCTGTAGACCCAGGACTGAGGCTGTAGACCCAGGACTGAGGCTGTAGACCCAGGACTGAGGCTGTAGACCCAGGACTGAGGCTGTAGATCCAGGACTGAGGCTGTAGACCCAGGACTGAGGCTGTAGACCCAGGACTGAGGCTGTAGACCCAGGACTGAGGCTGTAGACCCAGGACTGAGGCTGTAGACCCAGGACTGAGGCTGTAGATCCAGGACTGAGGCTGTAGACCCATGACTGAGGCTGTAGACCCAGGACTGAGGCTGTAGACCCAGGACTGAGGCTGTAGACCCAGGACTGAGGCTGTAGACCCAGGACTGAGGCTGTAGATCCAGGACTGAGGCTGTAGATCCAGGACAGAGGCTGTAGACCCAGGACTGAGGCTGTAGACCCAGGACTGAGGCTGTAGACCCAGGACTGAGGCTGTAGACCCAGAACTGATCCAGGCCAGAGAAAGACATCAGGGAGAGACCAGAGAGAGACCAGAGAGAGACCAGAGAGAGACCAGAGAGAGAGACCGGAGAGAGACCGGAGAGAGACCAGAGAGAGACCAGAGAGAGACCAGAGAGAGACCAGAGAGAGAGACCGGAGAGAGACCGGAGAGAGACCAGAGAGAGACCAGAGAGAGACCAGAGAGAGAGACCGGAGAGAGACCGGAGAGAGACCAGAGAGAGACCGGAGAGAGACCGGAGAGAGACCAGAGAGAGACCAGAGAGAGACCAGAGAGAGACCAGAGAGAGACCAGAGAGAGACTAGAAAGAGACTAGAAAGAGACCAGAGAGAGACCAGAGAGAGACCAGAGAGAGACCAGAGGGAGACCAGAGAGAGACTAGAAAGAGACCAGAGAGAGACCAGAGAGAGACTAGAAAGAGACTAGAAAGAGACCAGAGAGAGACTAGAGAGAGACCAGAGAGAGACCAGAGAGAGACTAGAAAGAGACCAGAGAGAGACCACGCTGATCCCCTGAACTAATCACTGTGTTGCAAACTTGCCACAAACGTTTTCCTCTGATTTTTCATAAATGTAAATGTCTCAGAAACTCGCTGCAGAATCCAAAACTAAAACTAAAACTAAAGTCTTCATCAGTTTTTTTCCGTCTTCACCTCCAGCTCTTTGTTCATGTTCTTGTCTGTGATCAGGAAGTCTGATAAAGTCACATTTACTCTGAAACAGTCTTATCTTTATGGGCACGACACGACTTTTATCAGAATCACATTTGATTGTTTGAACTGGAGTTTGAGCAGAGGAACTAAAACTAAAACAAAGAAGTCTCGTCACAGCCTGAGTTTTTAAAGTTATTTGAGATTTGACTGAAGTGAAGAGAACGTTGAGCGACTGCAATCACAGAGACGGGAATCATTTAAATATTTCTTCATTAAAGAAAATATATATTTTTGTGTGATGTGCATTTTGCAATATGGATAAAGTCATTTTTAAAAGTATAAAACTAATAATACTCTTACAGCTAATTTACACTAATTCATTTGGCTGTATGTCCACTGTCCGTGCGCAGGTTTGTGGCTTCTGATGCTCTGTGTAGTCTATGGAGCAGTACAGAGGACAGTACAGAGGACAGTACAGAGGACAGAGGACAGTACAGAGGACAGTACAGAGGACAGAGGACAGTACAGAGGACAGTACAGAGGACAGAGGACAGTACAGAGGACAGTACAGTACAGAGGACAGTACAGAGGACAGTACAGAGGACAGTACAGAGGACAGTACAGAGGACAGTACAGAGGACAGTACAGAGGACAGTACAGTACAGAGGACAGTACAGAGGACAGTACAGAGGACAGTACAGTACAGAGGACAGTACAGAGGACAGTACAGAGAGTACAGTACAGAGGACAGTACAGAGGACAGTACAGAGGACAGTACAGAGGACAGTACAGAGGACAGAGGACAGTACAGAGGACAGTGCAGAGGACAGTACAGAGGACAGAGGACAGTACAGAGGACAGTACAGAGGACAGAGGACAGTACAGAGGACAGTGCAGAGGACAGTACAGAGGACAGTGCAGAGGACAGTACAGAGGACAGTGCAGAGGACAGTACAGAGGACAGCAGGACTGATGTAGAGCAACACAAATCACATGTGTTTGTCTTCATGGTCTCTGTGCTGGTTTGGCCAGAGGCCAGACTTTGTGAAAGAAAAAAAACAATGTCTAGAATCACTGTAAAACCTGCTGCTCCTCCGGCTAATGTTTAGATACAAGTGTGTGTGTGTGTGTGTGTGTGTGTGTAGATGTGATCTAAAGCCAAGGGTCGCTATAAAAATCATGTTTCACATGTGTTTTCAATGGAGACGCGTTGCTGCGCGCACAAAATTAGAAATCCATCCTAAATCAGGCGCAGCCTCGTGTCATACGTCCGTCATACTCGAGTATAACACTGGTGTAAATATCACCATTCGTTAACATGGAAAACAGTTACGCTCGTCTGCTGCGCGTACAACGTGTACACGCTGTAACGCCTCCTGTGGACATTAGCAGTAAGAGTGACAGACATAACAATAGTATTTGTGAATATTTGCTGACCTCCTCCCTGAGGTTTCTCTCTTTTCTCCCTCTGGGTTTTAGAGTGTTTCCTCTGATGCAGGAGTCTGTTGGACAGTCTGTGTCTGACATAAGGACTGTGATGATCCAGGACACTTTCACATTCTATATTTATGGACATTTATCAACATTCATGGACTTTGGTCTCTCCTCATGGACCAATACATATGTTCTCTGTCTTCTTCAGATTCTCTGATCTGTGTTGACTGAATTGATTTGAATTGAATCCTCCTTTAAAGACATCTGCAGAAGTGGCTTCAACTTTATCATTGTCACGTATCATGTAAACAGCAGATGTTTCATAGTCACAGTGCTCACATCATACTCTGTAAAAAAGAGGTAATAATTGCTTGAACTGCTTGAGTTGTTTTTATCTTACCTGAGCACATTCTGTCTACAAACAAGATTCTCCAATGGGACAAAGCCCTTTAGTCTGATTTCCTCATTCCAGACATCTCTTGTATCTTTTTCACATAAGATCACTTTGCTTTGTGGTGAATCTTATTTTAAGCCAGTCACAATGTACTAAAATTAAGATATATTTTGCTTTTTCCCATTGACAAATCTGGTTTTAAGGCAGTTCAAATGTGCTCATTGTAATTTTTTTTAGCAACTTCTGACTTGAAATGTGTTCGCTTTTAGCAGTGTACAATAAAACAGATAAACAGAGCCGTGGTTTTACAGTCTTTTGGCTTTGGGGGGAAAAATCTCATCCTCATTTTTTGTGTTCTGGCTTTGAGGAGCAGAGAGCGCCGCCCTGCTGGCAGCGAGGTGAACCAACACAGTTCTGAAGCTCTGATGTAGTATCTTCAGTTTGGGCTCCATGGGGACGTGCGGCCGAGAGATCCAACTCCGGGATTCTTGACTCTCCATCGACTTAAATCATCCGTTTGGCAGCAGTGACCAGAGAGAAACTGTCCACTCTCATTTATGCTGCATTTCAAGTCTGTTTTTGTCATTTAACAGTAAAAGCCTTTCTCTATTTCTCTCCCCATTATGGATTAGCGACACACATTTTCAATCAAAACATTTTCAAACAAATCAAAGTAAATTCTAGTCCGTCATTTGTTAAAGAAAAGAGTTTCGGACGAAAAATAACACAAAACAAATGTGGAATATTCAACCATTTTCAACAAAAATCTACCAAATTGGTGGAGTGGTCACGAGGATGCAACCTCAAAACCATATTTATAATTCTGATAATAATTCTAGGCTCTTATTTTCAAAACAGCAACGCTAAAAACCACTGTTGTTTATTTTTATTATGTCAAAATTATTTGGTCGAGGACAAGGTCGATAGGCGGGTTGCAGTCCCAGAAAACACACACATAAAGTACATTCATGTGGGTGAAACTAAAGGAAAAACACATTCTGCTCTGAGTCCCACTCCTCCTCATCACAACATCAGTGGGTCCAGAACACAGCCTTGTGGAACTCCCTGTAAGATCACACAGACACGTCTCTTCTCGCCACAGACCTGCGGCTGTGTTTAGCTCCATTCTCCTCCTCTCTGTCAAAAACATTATATTAGGATTATACTATTCAGGTGTGTTTGTTAAAAAAAGAAGAAAAAATCTGGTAAAAAGTCAAACAATAGTGCCTCATGGTAGCCTGGTCGTACCACACCATAGTACAAATGTCGTACTAAGGTCTGGAAGTGCTCCATTGACTCCGTTAACAGGTGGGAGGAGTGAAGGGACCTGAGTTTACCGTGACGTTTGTAATGCGCCCGAGTCAAGCCCCGGCGATCCAAGATGGCGCCCTATTCAAATGAATGGTTGTGCTCAGTGGCGCTTTGTGACGGCACCGGGGCTGAAAGATTAGCGGAAGTCGCCTGAAACTCGCAAAGATCTATGGGAAACTCGCCTGTATTTGGGCATCGTCTGGTCCTCCCGGTTCTGCGCAGTGGATGATCTCCCATAATGCATGTGTGGCTGTCCTGACGTGCACAGAGGGGCTCGGCCGCGCTCTGACCAATCAGAGCAGTTTATCAGAGCGGGAGTTAGAGCAAGAGCCAATCGAGCAGAGTTTGTTGCACTAAAGTGTGGATTTAAAGAAAACCGAAGGATTTAAGAAGAAAAAAAGTTCAGGATGACAAGGGACACTAAAATCCCCACAAAATCCGACCTTTATTAAAGCTGTAGGTTCTCTGTCAGGTTCTCTGTCAGCTGAGGTCGATGCATTGAGTTCTATGGGGAAAATTTCTGGGTAGCCCACGTGAATTTAGTCTGGTTCAGTCTGCAGTACCGCGAGAATCCCCCGAGCACATGAGTTATTCAGCTACAAGCTAGTAATACCCTATCCAGTTAATATAATAGATCCATGGCCTGAGTCTGTTGTTAGCATTTAGCATTTGGCATTAGCCTAGCTTTAGCCATCTCCTTTGCCGCTAACGGAGTCCGTGGGGAGTAGCGCCACAATTTTTTCCGGCGATTACATTTGCTAAACATTCCTATTGCTCCAGCTTCAGTTTCTTGATAGAACCAGACTGGATTACTTTACTTGACGTCACCCACAACTACAACACCCGACTCTCACGCTCACTGATTTGTCGGTCGATATTCAACCGATCGTAATCGCTAACCCAGGGACCAGACCCAGACGTTACATGCCGTGAAATGATTATTGAGCAGAGAGTATGGATGGATAAGACCAGGCTAGCCTCATGGACGTCACCCCTTAAAATGCAATCACGATTTGTATGTAATGCATTTTTCCATCAAATTTGTACTTAAACAAATGAAATCCTCCCATTAATATAAATAAAACCATTTTTTCTTAAGTTAATTTCAAACAGAATTTCTCCCGTAAAAATCAAACATGATCAAAGTTCAGCAAAATGTTCAAAGACATTTTCCCACTCATTAAATTAAAGTAAATTCCCACTGAATAGAGTTTTTTAAATGTTTTTTAAAGAGGCTTCTTCTCTTTGAGGAAGGAAGACGCGAGTTCCTGCTTCGTGAGAACGTCTCTTCAAAGTCTTTGTGTGAATTGTTTTGGAGTAACGTCCTATGAAACATGCTATATAAATAAATCTTATGAAGTCCATTTGTTTTGGGGAAATAAACCCAACCTTCAGAGTATTACCTCCTACATTTGAAAATTGATTTTAAATGTTTTTTTGTTGACGTGTGTCTTGTTTCTGAGTAAACTTTAAACGTTGTTGATGTGATTTCTCAGACGTCGATTGAAAAGCGTGAACGTGAAGAATGACTTTACGTCGCGCTCTTTGATGACTTCTCAAACTCTGCTCTGACTTTTCAGACTGAGGCTGTTTTTGAGCGTTTGCTGGTTCTCAAAAACCCAAATTACTCAGAGAAGTGTGTGTGGCAGAGGTTCTGGTTCAGTGGTAAAACGGGGTCTGGGCGTCTGATGGAGGCAGAGAGGGACATTATAAGAACTGGTGTCTGTTCTGGTAACTTTTCTACACTTTTTAAGGTCAGATATTGCTTTATTGGTCCCACAGCGGGGAAATGTCAGCGTCATTGTTGCACATTACAGCAGAGAAAGAAGTAAATAAGACTCAGACGCACACATTAAACAGAGTCTATTATTTAAGATAATGAAGAAGATGACATAGTCTGGGATCGCGTCTTTAATTCAGACAGAAGACATGTTTTATTGTCGATGGTAGAGACAGCACGAACAACACGAACAACAGAATGCAAGTGTATTATACAGAGCGGAGGCATGGAGACCTCCAATCAGCAGCTGCCACAGTGCCAGCAGAGATAGTCAAAACATGAAGTGGAAAAATACAGGCTTCTGCACATTGGTAGAATGATGAGTTTAACTTTAACAAAAGTTGCTTAAAAGTGGCAAGGCAAGGCAAGTTTATTTATATAGCACAATTCATACACAAGGCAATTCAAAGTGCTGAACAAAACAAAGCATTAAAATCATAAATAATCACAGAACATTAAAAAGAAAGATACAAATATAAAATCCCTCAGTTGTATGCACAGCTAAACAGAACTGTCTTTAACCTGGTTTTAAACATTGTCAGAGAGGAGGCCTGTCTCACATCTTCAGGAAGACTGTTCCAGATTTTAGCAGCATGAATCTGAAAAGCAGCCTCCCCATGTTTAGTTCTGACTCTGGGCACTAACAGGAGTCCAGTCCCCTGTGCTCCTCAGAGTCCGGGCTGGTTCATATGGGACTAACATGTCACTAATATATTTTGGTGCGAGGCCATGGAGAGACTTGTACACAAGCAGAGCTGTTTTAAAGTCTATTCTCTGAGCCACAGGAAGCCAGTGCAGAGACCTGAGGACTGGACTAATGTGGTCGTACTTCCTGGTTCTAGTCAGGACTCGAGCTGCTGCATTTTGAATGTACTGCAGCTGTTTTACAGCCTGTTTGGACAGACCTGTGAGCAGGCCATTGCAGTAGTCTAACCTACTGGAGACAAATGCATGGATAAGAATCTCCAAGTCTGCTTTAGACACTATGTTTTTGATCCTGGCAATGTTTTTTAGATGGTAAAAAGCTGCTGATGTTACTGATTTGATGTGGCTATTCAAATTTAAGTCTGAGTCCAGTATTACCCCTAGATTTCTGACCTTGTTTGAAGGTTTTAGGGAGAGAGACTGTAGATGACAGATGACGCTCTCTCTTTGTTTCTGGGGACCAAAGACAATCATTTCAGTTTTGTCTGCGTTTAGCTGAAGGAAGTTGTTTTGCATCCACTCACTGATCTGTTGGATACAGTGAAGGAGTGAGACCACTGGTCCATGTTCTCCTGCAGTCAGTGAGACATAGATCTGAGTGTCGTCTGCATAGTTGTGATAGGACACTTTGTTTCTGCGTATTAACTGACCTAACGGCAGCATGTAGAGATTGAACAGAAGAGGTCCCAGGATCGACCCCTGTGGTACTCCACAGGTCAGGGCCATATGATCTGAGACACAGTTTCCAATCTCCACAAAGTACTTCCTGTCTTCAAGGTAAGACCTAAACCAACTTAGGGCGGTGCCAGCGACGCCAACCCAGTCCTCTAGTCTCTGTAAGAGGATCTCATGGTCGACGGTGTCAAAGGCAGCACTTAGATCTAACAAGATTAAGATTGAGACTTTGCCTGCGTCAGTGTTCAGCCGGATATCGTTTGTAACCTTGACGAGAGCAGTCTCAGTGCTGTGGTGGGGTCTAAAGCCGGACTGAAACATATCAAATGAGTTGTTGATTATAAGAAATCTAGTAAGCTGTAGGTAGACAACTTTTTCAAGGACTTTCCCCATAAATGGCAGATTTGAGATGGGACGATAGTTGTTAAGTACCGTAGTATCCAGACTGCTCTTTTTTAGCAGGGGCCTGATGACTGCAGTTTTCAGGGCCTTTGGGAATATTCCAGAATGAAGGGACATGTTTACTATCTGTGTGAGTGAAGGTAACAGACTGCTCAGAACAGACTTCAGAAATCTAGTGGGTAGTACATCCAGGCTGCATGTGGAGGAGCTCAAACTGGAGATTATCTCTTGGACAGTTTGATGATTTACAGGTGCAAAGTAAGTTAGCTCAAAGAGCCTTTCAGGCTGTTGGATGGTTATCTGTGGATTGGAGACAATGGCGTTTTTGATGCCTTGAACCTTGTCATTGAAAAAATCAGCAAACTCATTGCATTTGAACAGGGGGGTTTGTTAATCTATTAACTGTTGAGAACAGAACACGCAGATTGTTGCTGCAGCCTTCAATCATTTCAGAAAAATACCTTTCTCTCGTACTACGTAGCACCCGGTTAAACTCGCACAACTTATCTTTGAAGATCTCGTAATCAACCTGGAGGTTGGACTTGCGCCACTTCCGCTCGGCCCTCCGGCACTCTCTCTTTTGTGCCCTGATCGAGTCTGCTTTAGCCCACGGCGCCTTCTGCTTATTTTTCACTTTTTTAACCTTCACAGGAGCGATGGTGTCCAGAACATTCAAAACACTAGAGGTGACAGAGTTAAACAGTTCATCTACAGTAGAATACGATGCATTCTCAAAGTTTATCATTCCCATAAATAGATCACTCGTATTTTCATTTATGTGTCTTCTTCGAACAGTTGCAGAGTCCACTGGTGGTTTGTTAGTGAAACACATGTCAAAAAAAACACAGAAATGATCCGAAAGAGCAACATCGACCACGTTTACATTTGAAATATTCACCCCCTTAGTAACTAACAGATCTAGAGTTATGAAATCTCTCAATAATACAACCAAAATAATAAGATAGTAAAATAGAATAAAATAAAATAAACTCTGGAGCTATAATGGCACTGGGTTCAGATCAGTCTTGTTCTCAGACTTGTGCCGGTCGTTTTTCCGTGTCAAAAATGCACCAATTTTAATTTTTTTCATTCCAAATTGTTGTCAGTTCACCTCAAAGCTGTAAACACATCAAGTAATTATCAAAAATACTTATAATTTGATATGTCTTTCAGCTCAACTCACAACAAAACAAAAAGCCTGGTAATAATGAGCCACAGCTGCAGAGACGAAAGTGATATCGAAGTGAAAGTAAATGGTCTGAGCAGATAAACGCCGTCACCTCAGCGGCCCTGCGCTCGGCTGCAGTCCCAGAAAACACACACATAAAGTACATTCATGTGGGTGAAACTAAAGGAAAAACACATTCTGCTCTGAGTCCCACTCCTCCTCATCACAACATCAGTGGGTCCAGAACACAGCCTTGTGGAACTCCCTGTAAGATCACACAGACACGTCTCTTCTCGCCACAGACCTGCGGCTGTGTTTAGCTCCATTCTCCTCCTCTCTGTCAAAAACATTATATTATATTTCTCCAGTGTGAGATTAATAAAGTCCATCTTATCTTATCTGTATTATACTAATAAAAAATGTGTTAATCTAAAAATAAAAATCTGGTAAAAAGTCAAACAACAATAGTGCCTCATGAATTACGCCCCTTAAAATGCAACCCATTTTTTATGTAATGCATTTTCTAACAAAACTAAACCTAATTTGAAATAACCAAATTTATATTTAAAATAAATGCAATGCTCCCAAAAAGATAAATAAAACCAATGTTTGTAACTTAATTTCAAACAGAATTTTCCTGTAAAAATCCATTTGTTTTGGGGATAAAGTAAAATATGATCAAAGTTCAATAAGTAAATAAGTAAAGTAAATTCCCACTGAAGAACATTGTTTGAATATTTTTTAAAGAGATTTTCCAGTTTTTTGAAAAAGTCCATTCATTTTGGATCAACCTATCAATCACATTTATTTATAAAGCACAATTCATACAGTGTAACCCAAAGTGCTTCACAGGCAAAAAAAGACAGAAAAAAAAGACATAAAAACAGTGTATATACATATAAAACACACTGTATTAAAAATATAAAAGTTACGAACATTTAAAACAATAAAAACTAATCAAATGCTTACCTGAATGCGACCGTTTTCAGCCTGGACTTAAACATTGCCAGGGACGAGGCCTGTCTCACATGCTCAGGAAGACTGTTCCAAATTCTGCCCGCATACATTTGAAACGCTACCATGTTTAGTCCTGACCCTAGGTACCAGCAGGAGGCCAGTCCCTGTGCTCCTCAGAGTCCCAGCAGGAGTCCAGTCCCTGTGCTCCTCAGCGTCCCAGCAGGAGGCCAGTCCCTGTGCTCCTCAGAGTCCCAGCAGGAGGCCAGTCCCTGTGCTCCTCAGAGTCCCAGCAGGAGGCCAGTCCCTGTGCTCCTCAGAGTCCCAGCAGGAGGCCAGTCCCTGTGCTCCTCAGCGTCCCAGCAGGAGGCCAGTCCCTGTGCTCCTCAGAGTCCCAGCAGGAGGCCAGTCCCTGTGCTCCTCAGCGTCCCAGCAGGAGGCCAGTCCCTGTGCTCCTCAGAGTACCAGCAGGAGGCCAGTCCCTGTGCTCCTCAGAGTCCCAGCAGGAGGCCAGTCCCTGTGCTCCTCAGAGTCCCAGCAGGAGGCCAGTCCCTGTGCTCCTCAGAGTCCCAGCAGGAGGCCAGTCCCTGTGCTCCTCAGAGTCCCAGCAGGAGGCCAGTCCCTGTGCTCCTCAGAGTTGGAGCCGGTTCATATGGCGCTAACATGTCTCGGATGAAAAATCAGAGAGGATTTTAAACTGTGGCCTTTTTATTCTGAGGTGTTTTCAGGCCTGTGCTTTTTAGACCATAGTTTAAATCCTGCATCGACTCAGGAAAACAGTGTGCCGTGTTGTTATAACCCGTGTCGGCTTTCGTGCATGTAA